AACCTACTCAAACCGAGAAAATTAGACAAGATCTGAAAGATAATATCGATCCCGCTGATCTGCAAATTGGATTCAATATGGGAAGACCTACAAGAAATGGAGGAATAATTCTGAAATGTGCTGATGAAACAGCGATGACCACAGTAAAGGACCGAATTCGAAATAAAATGGGGGAAAATTACAGTGTCCAGATCGCGAAGCAAAATAACCCCCAGTTAATAATTGTTGGAATCTCTGAAGATGACTATGATAATGAAGAAGATTTGATAAAAAATATCATAAGGCAAAATAAAATACCTCAGATAAATGCATTCAAATTTGAGAAAGTTCGAAACACAAAAATTAAAAATAAACATTTCAATTTGATAGTAAATACAGATCCAGAAACTTTCAAATTTTTGTTAAACCAGGCATTGGGTGATGTCAATAAAATTCATGTGGGGTGGCGAAATTGTAGGATTTATGAATATATTGGAATCAAAAGATGTTACAATTGCAGCGGTTTCAACCATCTGGCTAAAGAATTCAAAGAAAAGTTGGCTTGTGCTTTGTGTGCAGAGGAACATAGAAGAGATGAATGTAGATCGGACTCTAGTTAGTGTATTAACTGTAATAAAGCCAACAAAAAGTTCAACTTGAACCTCGATATTAACCATCAATCAATAGATCCATCTTGTAAATGTTTGTGTAGAATCAGTAGTATGATTAAGCAAAAAACAACCTATTCGGCCTAGCAATCAAATAATATGTTTTCAAAAAATTATTTTTTGTTCATTTAAATGCCTCAAGCTTTCATTGTCACCAAGAAGAAATTTCAGAATATATTTAAAATTATAAACCTGCAATAGTTTGTACTAGTGAGACTTGTATAACAAATGACTTTGAAGATTCTGAAATCTGTATACCGGGTTTTAATACCATTAGATGTAATTCCACAAGTAGACATACAGGTGGTGTACTTGTCCACATAGATGAAACTATGAGGTTTGAAACGTAGAAATAGTTGTTGAACACATGTTGCTTTGGCTTTTATCTTTCAATACTAGAGTGAACAATATAGCTTATTGGATCATTGTTCTATATAGGTCACCTAGTGGAAATATAATTTCATTTTTTGATAGCATTTTTTCTTGGTTTGAAACTAGAATTGTAAAAAACTGTTCTCAGAATATAATTTTGATAGGCGATTTTAACATTAATTACAATGAAATTAATTGTTATACTGTCGAACTGCAAGAGTTCATCGAAAATTATGGAATGAAACAGGTTGTTGAGGACTTTACTAGAATAACACAATTCACCCAAACCATAATAGATTTAGCTTTTACAAATTGTGTAGATATAGCAGTTATAGTTAACCATACAGATAAAATATCAGACCATCCAATAGTTGAAATATATACAGGAACTTACAAGAACACTCAAGTGAAGAAAATTACCAGAGGCAAAATAAACTATGATGCAATATCTCAAATATTGATTGAAAAAGACTGGTGTTATAGTTGTACTAATGTTGATATTGTTTGCGATAATTTTATAAATAACATTAAAACAACATCAGATGAGGTCTCTTCTATTGAGGAAATCGTTGTGAGATATGACAATAAATGGATGAATGACGAATGTCGACAAGCAATGAGGGAAAAAAATGATTCTTACAGTCGGTTTACTTTCACAAAAAATAATAATGACTGGTTGGAATATAAACGTTGTAGAAATAAACTAGTGAGAGTGATAGCCAACACAAAGAACAGTTCTATAAACACTTAATTGATGATAATAAGAATGATAGCAAGAGAATGTGGAAAAACTTGAAATATACAGGCTGATTCACGGTGGATGGCACATTAGACGTTTCTGGTGAACCAGACAACGGATCATTTTGAAAATTCAATGGAGGGCATATTCGGACATTCTCTAGCCAACTAAAATATTTTCGACAATGCGGTGTTGCCGCTTCTATTAGAAAGCAGTAGCAACTTTGATTTTTCGAATGGAACACACTGTATCTTATTGCATTGTTAGATTCTCCCTGAAGAGCAGATTTCATCGATGTATCACACTTGGGGTCTAGCGGGAATGATTACAGAGATATAGGGTGTGAAAAATCGACATTTATCAACTTTAGGAATTTTTTTTGTCGAAACTATTCATTATTGGTCAAAACGGCTCACATGTTCCTACCTCAACTTTTGATCAACTATTTACTAACATTTAATTGAAACAAATACAGGGTGGTGCAGAATTCAGAATCTTGATCACCCGGTATATGTCCCAATTAAATATCAGTAGATAGTTAATCAAAAGTTGAGATAGGGACATGTGAGCCGTTTTGACCAATGATGAATAGTTTCGACACAAAAAAATCCTAAAGTTGAAAAATGTCGATTTTTCACACCCTATATCTCTGTAATCATTTCCGCTAGACCCCAAGTGTGATACATCGATGAAATCAGCTCTTCAGGGAGAATCTGAAAATGCAATGAAATACAGAGTGTTCCATTCGAAAAATCAAAGTTGCTACTGCTTTCTAATAGAAGCGGCAACACCGCATTGTCGAAAATATTTTAGTTGGCTAGAGAATGTCCGAATATGCCCTCCATTGAATTTTCAAAATGATCCGTTGTCTGGTTCACCAGAAACGTCTAATGTGCCATCCACCGTGAATCAGCCTGTATATTAGGCAACAAAAAAAAAGAAAAATATTACAGATGGTGTTATATGCAATGGAAGTTACATATGCAATCCAGTTAATATAGCAGATTCGTTGAACGATTTTTTTGTCGAAAGTATCGAAATAATCGCAACTGAAATTGGACCAACAGATGTGGACTTACTCGTTATAACGGATACTATTGCTGATGTGGATAATGTGGGTTTTGGTCACTTTAGTGCAATATCTTTGAATAGCTTATATGAAATTATATGTACCCAGCATAAAAAAGGAAGTGTCGATGAAATTGATCTGAAACTCATCAAATCGATCTTTGATATCATATAGGATATCCTTTGAGATATTTGATGAATCTTAGCTTAGAAAGAGGAAAACTACCAAATCAATTCAAAACCTCGGTTATAGCACCAGTCCCCAAAGTCTCTAATACATTGTTGGCTGAAGAGTTGCGACCTATAAACATGTTACCATTTTGTGAAAAATTATTGAAGTTAGTGGTGTATAATCAAATTATAGAATATATAAATGCCAAAAACATTCTTGTGTCCTATCAATCAGGATTTAGGAATGCTTACTCTTGTGAGACAGCCTTGCAATGTGTTATAAGTGACTGGAAAAATAACATTGAGGAAGGAAGTGGCATTATTCTTGCGGTATTTATTGACTTGAAGCGTGCCTTTGAAACGATGAATAGGGTAATTCTCTTAATTGAACTGCAAAAATATGGATTTACTGGAATTGCATTGGAATGGCTGAATAATTACTTACAGTTTCGTAAGCAGAAAACCAAATACAGAGACTGTTATTCGGAAACTAGAAGTAATGAATTAGGAGTGCCTCAAGGTAGTGTCCTTGGACCACTGCTATTCATATTATATATAAATGACCTAGGTAATGTATTGATGAATTGCAAAATACACTTCTTCGCTGATGATACCCTAATATATTGAAGCGATAAAAATTTCGAAAGGCTTATTCAAAATATCGATCAGGATTCGAAAATTTGAAAACATGTTGATGTCAAGATGGCGGACACGTGTGGTTTATGTGATAAGTCTTGTAAAAATTCGTATGCAATTGCATGTAATCAATGCTCAATTTGGTATCATATCAAGTGTGTGGATCTTACAACAGCTCGGCTAAATTATTACGCTGCTGAAGGTAAGAAGCTGAAGGGCGATCAATGGTTTTGCCAAAAATACTAAAGTGAGGTTATGACAGCAACTAAAAATCAGCCGAAAAGTAGCAAAGCTGAACAAAGGGACACGAAGGAATACCGGGTGCGGCACCGAAAACGAAACAGAGGCTCTGTAGGTCGCCAAAACCGGATTATCAAAAAAAACTGAAACAGGTCAACTACATTTTCGAGGGGGACATCTTTCTAAAATATTTTCAGCCCTGCGGCGTTGCCGCTTCTAAAGAAAAGAAGCAACAACTTTGTTATTTCAAATGGAACACCTTGTATTTCATTGCATTTTTAGATTCTCCCCGAAGAGCTGATTTCATCAATGCATCACACTTGGGGTCCAGCTGTAATGGTTTCAGGGATATAAAGTGTTCAAAATCGAGATTTTTCAACTTTTACTTTTTTTTGTGTCGAAACTATTCATTATTGGTCGAAACGGCTCTCATGTCCCTATCTCAACTTGTGATTTACTATCTACTGACATTTATTTGAAACAAATACAGGGTGGTTCAAGATTCAGAATTCTGATCACCCTGTATCTGTTCCAATTAAATGTCAGTAGATAGTAAATCAAAAGTTGGGATAGGGACATGAAAGCCGTTTTTGGCCGATAATGAATAGTTTCCACACAAAAAAAAGTCAAAGTTGAAAAATCTCGATTTCGAACACTTTATATCCCTGAAACCATTACAGCTAGACCCCAAGTGTGATGCATTGATGAAATCAGCTCTTCGGGGAGAATCTAAAAATGCAATGAAATACAAGGTGTTCCATTTGAAATAACAAAGTTGTTGCTTCTTTTCTCTAGAAGCGGCAACGCCGCAGGGCTGAAAATATTTTAGAAAGATGTCCCCCTCGAAAATGTAGTTGACCTGTTTCAGTTTTTTTTGATAATCCGGTTTTGGCGACCTACAGAGCCTCTGTTTCGTTTTCGGTGCCGCACCCCGTACCTATACTAAAAACGATATTATGCATAAATTGGTTGATATCGATCAAAATTATGTGTCATTGCTTGAAAAATTTGAGGCCCAAAGCAAGGTCAATGAAAAACTCAGGAGGGAGTTAAAGGTTGTCACAAATAAGCTAAATCTGGAGGTAAATAAGAATGAACAAGGAAAACTAAGTAAGAATGTTATAATTATGGGTATCCCTGAAGTAAGCTCTAATGAAAATGTTGAAGGAACCATAAAAGAAATTGGCAAAAAACTAGACATACACATTGGTAATTTCAAATCCTTCAGATTGGGCAGGAGCGAAATAGGAAAAATCATGCCAATCAAGGTAGAGTTTGACTCTGAGCAGGATAAGATGTCCATGTTGAAAGCAATAAAATCAAAGAGGATCACAACACAAGATATTGGTATTGTGGGTCAGGGATATGATATTTATATCAATCAGGACCTTACTGAATGGAATCTTCAAGTCTACAAAGCAACAAAAACATATGCCAAGGAAAATAACTATAAATTTGTTTGGGTGCAGAATGGTCAAATATTGCTGAGGAAGTCAGAAGAGGACAAAGTGCATGTGATTGAAAAAGAAGAGGATCTGCACAGTCTAAAAAACTTCTAAAAATAGTTGTTTGTAATGAACTGAAAATTTCCTAAACAAATCTGCAAAGCATTAAAAATAAATTTGAATCTTTTGAAGCATATGTATATGATACAAAAAGTGATATAATCTGTGTAACAGAGACGTGGCTATACAATAATGAGGTCCAGTACTACAACCGAGTAATGAAAATATTTCTAGATTCAAAATGTTGAAAAACAGAGTGAAAAAGAGAAGTCTTGTGCTTAAACATGAATACTTCAACAAAGAATGGAGTAAAGCAGGCTCAAATAGTAAGAAACAGTGGCATTGCATGAATAGATTCATTAAAGGTGAGGGTAATAAAAAGCACATTGTGGAATGTCTATCCATCAATGAGCAGATTATTACAGATAGATATCAAATTGTTAACGAACTTAACAGATACTCCTGTGAAATTGGAGCAGAAATTATTGAAAATATAACCAGTGAAAAACAGAATAGGAGAGACCTTATTGATTTTGAGGAGTTTAATTGTTTAAATACCTTGTATATTGAGGAAGTAACGGCTCAGGAAATAGAGAATATTATAAATATGCTCAAAGCAAATGCTGCACCAGGGTATGACAATATCACAGTTAGTGACTTGAAACTTCTCAAAGCAGACATTATACCAATTATTACTAGATTAGCAAATGACATAATGCTGCAGGGAACCTTCCCAGATGTACTCATGCAAGATCGGTAAGGTTACACCTATACACAAATCTGGTCCAGTAAATCAGATGAATAACTACAGGCCAATAAGTGTTATCTGCAACTTGGCAAAAATCCTGGAAATATTAATAAAAACTAGAATTGTAAATTTTTTACAGAAATATGGCAATCTTGATCCATATCGTGGTTGTCGCATGTGGTTGAAGTGTATGTGCTCTCTGAATAATACACTGCAGTGAGTTCAATAAGAGGCATATGAAAAACTCGAAAATCAATTGTGGACACTAAGTGAAGTGTAGTGTAACTATATACAAAGACCAATTTGATTAGTTTTTCTTCGTTTTACAATTACATTGTTGGAAACCGTTGAACAATTTCTGTGTAATGCCGTTAACGCGTGAACAAGTTGTTGAGCTGCGTTCAGCAGCCGACGTGTGTATAAAACAATTTTGTACAGATGAAAAGTTCATAAAAAGTCTTGTAGATAGTGTATCGGCCGGGATTCTTATCAGACTAGAAGAAAAGTTTGGTATCTACGATAAAAAACTAAACGACCTACAAACTCAAATGACTCACATAGAGGATGAGCACAAGAAACAAATCGAGGCTATGAGTAAGAGAATAGAAGAACTTGATAATCGAAATGCTAATAATACAGTAAAAATTATATCAGAAATTGAGGAGATCAGGAGCCGGGAAAATAATATTTTATTGTTTGGAGTTCCTGAAAACTCTGAAAACTTGGGAAACGATGTTGAAGACATAATAAAATTCATAATTCCCCAGTTTAATATGAACGATGTGAAATTTCATCGTTTGGGAAAAGGGAATGGCAATAACACTAAATGTCGACCAATCAAGGTCACTATTCCAGATAAGAACAACGTCCATATATTGCTGAGGAATAACAGAAAACTTCAGTCAGGACATAATCAATTTCAGGTGAAATGGGAGTGGCTGGTTGCCCGACTGGCGTGTTTTCAACTAGGGAAAAAGCCAAATACTCAAAGTGGAATGCATTGGTCACAAAGAGAGAAACTCAAAGTCATTACCACAACTAGTTCATAAAATGAACGACAATGGTAGATAACGAGAGGAAAACAACTCTGCAGGTAGTCAGCGTTCCTGAACCACTTAAGCGCAGCTCAGCGTTCAGGAAGGAAACACTTGCGATTTTATTCGTTTATACGAACTATCGCATAGATTTCGGGAGGATGTAATGCAATGTTCTGCGTGGCATATAGCCAGGAAAGTAGTTGTTTTGCTCTCGTTATCTACCATTGTCGTTCATTTTATGAACTATTGTGGTAATGACTTTGAGTTTCTCTCTTTGTGACCAATGCATTCCACTTTGAGTATTTGGCTTTTTCCCTAGTTTAAATAGTGAATTGTAATGATAGGATATTAGATATAGTATTATCACCATCTTCCGCAGATTGCTTAGTAACATGTGAAAATGACCCTCTAGTACCATTAGATCCTCAGCATCCAGCAATTGTAATTGAATTCCAAGATATTCGTTGTGTCAAAAACAATTTTTCCTCCCATATTGATCGTTTAGATTTCAGGAGAATCAACTGGGAAAAATTCAATCAATTACTGACCGAATTCAACTGGACTATAATTGGCTCTTATTCGGATGTTAATAACATTACTTGCGAGTTTTTCAGCAATACATTGAGAAATATAATCAAGAGCTGTGTACCATTATCGAGAAAGAGAAAATATAAATACCCTGTATGGTTTAACCAAAGCATTATATATAACATAAAATCTAAAAATCACTATTTGAAAATGTATAGAAAACATAAGATCAACTTCTACTTAGCTCGTATTAAAAATTTGAGAAGAGCTATTAAAACTGAAATTGCAGTGGAGTATCAAACATTCATCGATAATTCAGAAAGTAGTATCAAAGACAATCCTCAAAAATTTTGGAATTTTATCAACCTTAAACAGCAAAAATCTCGTATTCCTGGTAGAATGAATCACGAAGGGAAAACGCTCGTTAACCCTCAACAGATTATTGAGTCTTTTGCAACCCACTTTAAAAGTGTTTTCCTTGAGGAGGAATATGATCTCGATAGCGATGTTTCGATGAATGATGAGTACTCCAAGATTAACAGCAGTTACTTACACGTTCCTATAATTACGCGAGTTCAAATTCTCAATGCTTGCAAAAAACTCAAGAACAAGTGGTCATCTGGACCTGACAATATTCCACCCAAGCTATTAATATTAATATTGACAAATTATTGGATCCTTTAGTCGTCATTTTCAACCTGATTATTAAAAGTGGAAAATTTCCTGATATATGGAAATACTCACGTATATGTCCTATTTTTAAATCAGGAAAACCAACAGAAATAACAAATTATAGGCCAATTGCTTTAGTTTCTGCTCTTTCAAAATTATTCGAGATTCTTTTGGCGGACTTGATGTATGAACACACTCGTCACCTCATTACAGAAAACCAACATGGCTCCATGAGAGGTCGCAGTACATCGACAAACCTCTGTATATTTACGGAATTTGTTTCGAATGCTCTAGATTCAAGATGCCAAGTTGATGTTATTTATACTGATTTCAGTAAAGCAATTGACCGCGTATCACACAGCAGGTTATTAGATAAACTAGTATCTTTTGGATTCTCCAAAAACCTTATCAATGTATTGAGGACATACCTGAAAGACCGCAAACTTTATGTCGAATACGAAGGAGTTCAATCCTCACAGTTTAAAGCTACATCAGGTGTGCCTCAAGGCTCAAATTTGGGACCCTTATTATTTTTGTTATTCGTGAATGATGTATGCTCCAATTTTGAGTCGAAATCCCTCATATTTGCTGACGACATGAAAATTTTCAGAAGGATTAACGACTTATCGGATGCCATTTCCTTACAAAATGATCTGAATCTGTTGAAAAACTGGTGTTCAATAAATAAACAATCGCTCAATGTCAGCAAATGTGAGGTAACACGAGTCACAAAACACAAGGACCTGGGTGTCATATATGACTGCAAACTTGCCTTCTCAAGTCATTATGAAACAATGATCTCCAAAGCTATGAAATCCTCGGGTTTTTTAATTCGTAATTGTAGTGAATTCAAATCATTAGGAGCAGTTTGTCACTTATACATTAGTTTGTTCAGAAGTAAACTGGACAACTGCAGTCAGGTATGGAATCCGTACCACCAACAAACAATTTCTGCTATTGAAATGGTACAGCGTAAATTCCTGAAATACTTATTTTACAAAAAATATAAAGTCTAACCCGAAAGGCACTATAATTATGACCTTCTGTTGAATGAGTTTAAGTTTCAATCGCTGAAGAAGAGGAGAGAAATAGGTGATTTACTTTTTGTTACAACAATACATCACTACAGTCTTTATTGATCTTAGGAAAGCATTTGATGTAGTAGACCATGTACATTTGCTATACAAACTGGAACAAATGGGTATAAGAGGCAATATGAATAATCTGATCAAATCATACTTGACCAACAGAAAGCAATTCGTTTTTATTGATGATACAAAAAGTAAATTGTTAGATATAAAAACGGGCGTTCCACAAGGATCAGTAATTGGACCGCTCCTATACATACTACATGTTATGAGCCTACAAAAAGCTTCATTGAAAGCTAGGTACTACACGTTTGCAGATGACACCGTACTCTCCTATAGTGGAACGTCATTAGAAAAATTAGAGATAATACTAAATGAAGAAATCATAGTGTATAACAAGTGGCTACTCCACAATAAGTTGAAGATCAATGAGTCAAAATGTGTCTATATGATTTTTAAACAAAAGAACATGGTTATGAATGAAATAATTGTAAAACTGAATGAAACTACATTATAGAGCATGTGAAATATACTAAGTACTTAGGTCTTACCATAGATGAGTCGCTCGATTGGAGGGAACATGTTCAGAAGATTACTCAAAAAATAACTCTCATGATGGGAGCTATTCATAGATGTAGATCCTATATAGATAACAAAGCTAAATATTGTATATACAACTCTTATTTCCTAGCCATATTCAGATATATATGATAACTGATTGGGGTACCTGTGGAACAACAACTTTTAATAAAATCCAAATACTTCAGAATAGGGTGGTAAAGATCTTGTTCAACTTGGACTATCGTATGTCGACGGATACTGTACCTAGATACTGAATTAGATAAATTAGATATGATTATCAAGCTGGAACAATGTGAATATATATATAAACTGGTACACAGCCAACTGAAAACTAATTCTGGACTAAGCTATAGAAATCGAATACACTCACATGACACAAGGAATAAACATCAACTAAAT